TATTCAAGCTGGGTTACGGGTTCAAGGACATTTCTTATACTCTGTACTAATATTCTTGAACTGTATCGTCATAAAACATCCAAAAAATCTCTCCCCCAGCCATGAAAATAAAGGTAATACAACTCACCTCCACATCAGGAGCTCTACATTCTGGGGCTGAGAGGGAGGTGGAAGGCAGCCGGTCTCGAGGACGTCCATGCTGACTTTGGGGTGGGAATACGCCGAAGGGCACCTTTCAAATAAGATTCCCAGTCGAGTTTGTTTCCTGCCTCCCTTCTCTCGCCTGAAATGCAGCGAGGCGAGCGGGAACAAAGCCTCATGGTTCAGATCATGCTGAGGTCAAGACACCTGGGGTGCAATCCTGGCTTCTGCACTACCAGCGACCACTGAGGCAAGCTACCTGGGTCTCGGGCCTGTTTTCCATCTTCAAGGGATTAAAGGAGTAACATCTGTCACCTGTTTAGAAGAGTGCCCGGCCCAAGGTTAAAGACTAATATTTTTTTAATTCCAACGAATAATTTGCTATTTAACACCCTTGACAGAATGGAACTAAGGTTTTAAAGAGAAGGGAGAGGGAACGTGAGGGAAGAACAAAGGAATATAATGGCAGCTCCCAGCCTGCTTTCACCCCCATTTCCACGGTGCCACTGGGTTTGGGAGTTCCTGACTTCCGAGTTTAATCCAGTCTCTAATTAAAGGCATAAATTTGAAAAGCAAAATCAGAGAAACCCGGGAAGAAAACCACAGCAAGTTAAAGGCAAAGCCAAGCCTCAGGATTCCTCTGTGTGCCCATTAAAAAGGATGCTTTGGCGCAGCCCGCATGACCCTCAAAAGGTAGCAGCTGGCGAGTGAAGCGAACCACAGGCTAAGTGCGTAGGCGGCACAGGCGTCTGAGGGTCCAATTCCCAAGGTGAGCAGTTGCTGAGCTCATCTCTGGAAAGTTAATTATGGTTCATTTCCACAGTCACCAGGGAGAACTAGAGAATTCTAAAGAAACACTTAAAACCCAGAGGTGTGGTAACTGGGCAACATAATGGAAGGGCAAATTAAAAGTAGCCAGGGGTAGTGTAAAGCAATTAACGTTTACAGTGAGTAAATTCTGGAATGGTCAGGCTCACTGTCAAGACCCAAGCCAAACAGGATGAAATTATGGTGTGGAGAAGGGAAACAAAGTAGCTATGGTAATTACATTGATGTGTGATGTAGTTGTCTAAGAAATGACAGAGGGAATATTAAAAATGGTCTATAAAAAAGGTGTACATAAAAATCAAAATAACTCTTTAGTATTCCAGCTTATAGGTCTTTCCCCCAATTTCAGTATTCATTTCCCTCCATTTAACAGTATCCAAGCATGCCTTTAGAAATATGGTCATCCTTTCTGGGCTAATGATACAGTTGAAAGGATTTCCTACACACTCCAGCCTGTGACTATTTTACAGCTTATACTAGGCCACTCATTTCTTATTTTGACATAACTCAGTGGTTCCCAAAATTTGCTGTACATTAGAATTAACTGGGGAATTAAAAAAAATCCTGGTGTAGATCACACCCTGTACTAATTAAATCAGAATGTCTGGGGGTGGGAGTCAAGCGGCGGTATTTTTAAAAAACTTTTAAAAAATTTATATTTTGGGGGGGGGCGCACAGAGAGAAACACTGGTTTGTTGCTCCACTTATTTATGCATTCACTGGTTGATTCTTGTATGTGCCCTGACCGAGGATGGAACCCGCAACCTGGGCGTGTGCTCAGGAATCGAACCAGAGACCTTTCACTGCATGGGACACTCACCCATCCAAGCTACACTAGCCAGGGCAGCTGCAGTATTTTTAAGGGATGATATACTGTCTAAACTTGGGATTTAAAAAGGAAGAAGACAGAGTTTCTGTCCTGGAGTAATGTTTCCATACACTAACATTCAAAACAATAGTTTATTTTGTACATCTTACTTCCCTGTACAAAAATAATTTAAAACTTAGTTTTCTGGGGGAAGGGGGGCAGTAAAATCATCCAGGGGTTTAAGGGGTGATATAGGAAATTATTGCCAGATACTCTGCCAGAACAAGGTAAGAAAAGGTAAAGCACACTGGTTTAAGATAGAAAACTTCAGAGTTTGGGGTCAAAACCTGCTCAGGTCTAAAGAAAAACAGAACTCCTCCCAGAAGACCATGTTTCTGAAAATATCGCTGCAAAATTTGGAACATCACATTAAACCTTATTTGCAATGAGGTTTTAAAGTCATTCCTCAGTTGAATCTGCTACTTTTAGTGAGAAAGTGACTGCCTCCTACGTAGTTGCTAACTTCTCACCTGACACTAAAGCTGTCTGCTCATGTCCAATGATAAGACAGTCTGGAAGCTGCTTCCCTCATCCTAACACAGTATTTGCCGTCGTAACTGGAGACAAAGGACCTTATCCCTGCACATTTCTTGCTGCATGCTCTCACTGGACCCCTGTGCAGTTCAGGTGAGGACGGTGTCCACAGGCGAAAGAAGAGTTGATAAGTCCTACCAGCTTGTGCGTTACTGCATCTAGTTGTTACTTAGAATTTTGGTTCTCAGGGGGCTACAATGACAAAAGGCTTAAACTATCTTCATGATTATTTACATTTAAATCTTAAGTCCTTGATGTAAACCTAATTCCTCACATTTCTTTTTAGATAATAAAAATGCTTATTTGCCTGGCTGGGGTGGCTTATCGGTTGACCCATATCGAGGCTCGATTCCAGGTCAGGGCACATGCCCAGGTTGCATTGCTCCATTCCAGCAGGGGGCCTGCAGGAGGCAGCTGATTAATGACTCTCTCATCATCTGTGTTCCTCTTTCTCTCTCTGAAATCAATAAAAAATATATTTAAAAAAAATGCTTATTTAAAGCCTTGGCCAGTGTGGCTCAGTTGGCTGAGCATTGTCCCATGGACCATGAGGTCACCAGTTCGACTCCCAGTCAGGACACATGTCTGGGTTTCAGGCTTGATCCCCAGTAGGGGGTGTGCGGGAGGTAGCTGATGTTTCGCATACGGATGTTTTTCTCTCTCTCCCCCTCCCTCTAAAATCAATAAACATTTTTAAAAATGCTTATTTAAAGCAGTTTTAAAAAATATATCCTTCATAATGTCCACTATCTTTATATTAAGCTCAAGAGAAACAATTCATAAATTGCCTGCGTTCTGCAGGTGCCATTAATACCTAGTTACAGCAGCTGGGTGAGGAATTAAAACTATGCAATGGAATGAAATTAGACCTCTACCCTCACACCATACTCAAAACTTAACTCAAAATGAACCACAGATCTAAACGAAAGAGCTAAAACTACAAACTCAGAACACGCATAAATCTTCATAGCCTTAGATAATGATTTCTTAGATATACACCCAAAGCACAAGCATCTAAAAAAAAATAAACTGGGCTTCATCAAAATTAAACTCTCCTATGCTTCAAAAGACACTATTAAGAAAGTGAAGATGGGAGAAAATATTTAGAAATCATATACCTGATGAGGGATTAGTATCCTTAATATATAAAGAACAGTTATATTTCAATAATAAAAACAGCCCTGGCTAGGTGGCTCAATTGGTTGGAGCGTAATCCCTTACACCACAAGGTTGTGGGTTTGATTCCTGGTCAGGGTACATTCGGGAGGCAACCAATTTTTCTTTAAAAAAATCAATAAAAAAAAATACCCTCTGGTGAGGATTAAATAGACAAAAATTCAATTAGAAATTAGCAAAGGATCAGAATAGACATTTCTTCAAAGACATACAAATGGCCTATAAGCACACAAAAAGATGTTCAACATCACTAGTCATCACAGAAATGCAAATCAAAACCGTAAGACACTTCACACTGACCAGGATGTCTAGACTTAAATCACAGCCCCGACACTACCAGTAGGAAAGTAATGGGGCACAGTCACTTTGGAAGAGTTTGGCAGTTACTCAGCTACCATACAACCCAGCAACCGCACACTTAGATATACACCCGCGAACTGAAAACACTGACACAAGGCCGCAAGTCCCTAACAGCACTATTCGTAACAGGACAAGGTGGAAACAGCCCGAATCCTCACCAATGAGGGAAAATCAATGTGGCATACCCGCACAACTACTTGGCAATAAAAGCGAAATACTGACACATGCTATGGCACAGATGAACCTCAAAACATGCCAAGTGAATGGAGCCAAACAAGCCCCATTTGTATGAAAGATCCAGAATAATCTAGACACAAAGTTGTTGCCTAGAGCTGCGGCGGGGGGGGGGGGGGGGGGGAAAGGACTGCTAATAGGCACTGAATTTCTTTTTGAGGTGATGAAAATGTTCCAGAATTCAGAGTGGTGATAATTGCGTAACTTCGAGAATATACTAAAAATACTTCAAAATTGTACACTTTTGAAGGGTGACTTTTATCTCAGAAGAACAAAAGTTGGTTTAAAAAACTATGCGTGAACTTGAAGGAGGGCAGGAAGAGTGATGGGGAGTGTGAGTTTTGGTGTGTTCTATTTCAAATAGGGCTGTCAAGGAAAAAAATCAAGTAGACATGACCAGATAGTGAATGAAACTCCATTACCAAATAAGACTTGAAATACACTTTCTCTAGTTTAGAAGTTTAAGGACTACAGAGACTATATCCTGAAATTTTAAATGGCTGCTCACTTGAGAAATTTATAAGCTTCTCAAAGGACCAGGCCTCAAACTTTTAAAGTCTACATAGTCAAGGTCGTAGCTTCCCTTGCCAGGGCTGAACACAATTTAATACAGTAATGAAGACAAAAGTACATTTCAACACTTTTATCTCTGGAAAATATGTTCATCACAGCTTGGCAGCCACTTCCATTCCAGGGCTCTCTTTTTAACATTCCGAGTTGAACATTTAACTCTGCAAACATTTTTCAAAGTTCACTCCTGAGATGAGATTGTCAGCAAAGGAGGCAGGACATCAATTCACCGTTTTCAAAGACCAAGAACAGGTTAAGAGGTAAGAATAAAAACTATCCGACTCCAAAAACCCATATATTCACTTTTTATTGAATTTGTTAATGTTACAGAGCTCTTGCACTGCCAAACCATGCCTGAGAATTCAAAGAAAGAAATGGTACAATGGACAGCCTATCCACCCACCATACAGCATATTAAAACTTGATTCATGTGCATTTTGATAATCTCACAATCTTTTAAAAAGTTGTAACAAGAGTTGGTTTTAAATCTCCTGCAGTTCTTCAGCTCTCTAGTACAGTGTGCCATTAAGTTCCACATACCCATCCCAGTTCATTCCTCAAAAACATAACCCTCAACAAAATTTTGCTGGAAAAAAATGCATACTCTTCAGGGAAAATATGTGGCTCGAGGTCCAAGAGATTTGTTAAGATTTTTGGTTCCCAAATGAAGTCTTCAGTTTAACCAAGAATCCCTTGTTCCTTGCTTAATCATCCAACCTCTCCTTGGCTTGCTCAGCAATTCACCCAAACACGTCAGAAGGCAGGCGTCTCGCCTGCCACCTCAAATAACACCAACATTATTGCCCAGAAATGGTTGGCAGGTCGTGTCAGGAGATCCTGTAACCCTCCAGGAGTCTGATTCCTGCACTGACACTTTTATCGAGACCGAACTCCCACAGAAATATGCTCCCGCTTCAGGACAGTTTTCCTCCCCCATTGGCTTCACTCTTGCCAGTAGCAAGTCTGCACCTCCCGCCATTTGGCAAAGGGATTTACTACAGAGAAACCCAGAGACTGTGTCAAGTGGTCACCACCACTTTGACATATTTCTACTGAACCAAAGATACAAAACTAGGAAATTACCAGACTTTCTCATTAGGTGAAAAGAAACTTTGCAGTAGTCCTGGGTATCTTCCTGAAGTCCTCTTTAAGGACTAAAACTGACTGGATAGTTTAAGCTGTAATTATTAAAAATAGAAGTGCTACGTCATTTGCCCGACTTCAAATGAACAGCATAAAGACACACCAGGTGATAGCAGAGCTACCCTGGGACAATTGCTGCATCTACAGAATGTCCAATAACTTAAAAATTTGGGCACAAGTATTATCTGGAATTATCAAAGACCACGCAAGATTCATGAAACCTAAGTGGGTTTAGGTTGAGGTTCTGCTCACATTGCTCTGAATTTGTAAGAACAGGTCAGTGAATCCCTTGGCCTGAGCAGAAACCGTACTCTTTCCACTGCAGTTAACTTGACAATTAGACCTGATTCCAGGAGGCTTTAGCAGCACCTGAAGTAGAGCCCCCCGTGTCCGCTGCCCTTTACATCAAAGGCTATTTGGTTCCCCTCGAGGGATTGGCAATTTATGAGACATTTCACAATTCTAATGCATATTTCAGGTCACTTACTTAACCAAGCAATATGCTCTGTCAAAGAACTTCTTCCAAGTCAAAGCAAAAAAAAGGCCTTAATGTGGAACATAGAGAAAGCACTATCCAAATAAAAAATCACTAAAAGAAACAATATTCCCTTCCCACTTGGTGGACCCAAGTTTTGTTGAATTTGTGGTTACGTCAAAATACAACTCAAAGTTTAAATTAGTAATCATAGCCCTACATAGAGCATCTGAACACATCAGTTCTTTTGAGAGCGGCACATTCCAGGAAGTGTAACACAGCCGCAGCCCACGACAGAGAGCATTCCCAGAGGACGGGGCACAGGACAGGTTAATTAAGGTCACTTAAATCTTCATCTTTTACAGCAGATCAGAACCCAGACGGCTGACTCTCTGCAGGATTTCTGATAGGAATCCAGTAGAGCTGGTTGCAAGTTCCACATCGACACTTAACAGCTGTAACCTCCTTATCCAGAAGTTGTGATCCACATGAGTCCACATGAGTGCAGCAAATCTGAGGTAGTCAACCTTACAAAGGCTCAGTATCTGAACATAAAAAGATTTTGAAATGACCACTGGCTGCCATTTTTGTGTTTTTTTTTGTTTTTTTTTCTGTATTTGCAGAGTAATTACTATGTGAGAACACTGCTGAATCTAGTTCACACATTTATAACAATGAAAATCCCCCTAAATCAATAGACATAAAGAGCAGTTGTGACACTTGAAACTTCCATAGTGCAATAGGGCCGGTCACTTATCTCGAGGGGTCGGCATCGGTTGCTGTCGATCCAGCAGAGATCAGGTGATGAATGGCTGTTCATGGTGGTTAGCGGTGGTCTAGTTACCTTAGAAGGGTTAGCAAAGACCATTCCTTAATTGTACTGAGAGTGGCTGTTTTTTTGGTTCTCAAGCACAGCGTACTGGTTGTCTAGCTGAAGCTTAAGGGCCTGGTGTTTTGAAACCTCATCCCTACCTCTAGTTTTGTGTCTTACTACTTCAAAGCTCTTCTCCATTTCTTTATCCCTAAGGGAAAATAAATGTAATCAGTAAATATTTCTTCAGGCTGTTTTAAAAATATTCTTCCTTGAGTTTAAAAACAAAAGCCACCCCTTAGAGGAATCTTGAGGGAGAGACAGGAGGGGAAAACTAGTCTATAAAATCCGTATCAAACCACTTTTAAGGCTTCAATGGAAAAGGAAACATAGACACTGCAACTGGAGCTCTACGGCCCCGTTTCCTGCGGTGGCAAGTCTACTGTAGTGTTCAGTACTATTAACTGCAAACCTATTTTGGGACCAACTTGAAGACAACTGGAAAGTTAAAAAGTTCTCTAATAACATGGTGATTCCTTCTGAGACTCACTTTTACTGTTAGCAAATAACAGGCAATACATCTCTTTCCTTATGCATAAGTAAGGGTAACCATTTTCTCACTCAAGTAAGTTCTCGGTATTCAATGCCTTCTCCTCACTTCTACTTCACGGAAGTGGATCAGATAGAGGATGAGTGGTGAATCACTGCCCCTTACTTTGTAGGACAGGGCAGCGGAGCAAGTCCAAGTGGAGGTTTAAACTCAAGCCAGCTGTGGTCTCAAAGAGGCAAAACGGCTGGGATTTACTTTAAAAGTCACCCCCCCAAAAAACAATTATTTCCAGCTGATATCATTTACATTTCTTCCCATTTTATTTAATTTTAAAAATTCATGGCCCTAAACAAGATGTGGATGTGCCATATGTGGTCATTTAACTCCAGGTAGCATTCATTTTAAGTACCTGCTGAAATAAGATTTTAATATTAGATTTATAAATGCCAACGTCTTCCACCTACTTACATTTACTGGGAATACAACAAAATATTACTCTTTCACTTCTAGTTTCTATATAATAAGGAACATAAACCAGCAATAATGTACTTATAAAGATTTCTAACTTGTGAGAATGATATGGTAGCTTTTTCATGGCTACAGAACATAAACCAGGGGTAAGAGAAACTTCAGCAGACCAAGTGTGTCTTTGGTGCTCTTTCCCCTCCCCCCTCCAGGACACATCAGTCCCACCCTAATTCTCAGCTGCCTGTGAGATGCAGCCTGGGATTGACCAGTTAAGAGCACCCCCTCCCTGTGGGTTTTTGTATCTCCTACATCTCACTCACCACCAAGGGACAGGGTTCCAAAACAAAACGTGGTAATTAGAGTACTTACTTTCGGCTTTCTACATGCTTGGCAGTGGACTGCAGGGATGGGAACTGTGTATCACTGTATATTTCTGGTGGTCCTTGTGGCGTTTTCCTCGTTGTGGTTAACCTGGCTCCAGGAGGTCTATACACACCACTAGTCATTGCCGGTTCTGGGGTTTCTGTAACTAACATTTCATAACAGTTCAGAGAAAACATTCAAATGCTTGGCATTTTAATAAACTAGTTCTGTAATCTGATCACTTAATAATTACAGAAATAAAACCAATACCTGATATAAGGTTTCAGGACAACAGCAGCAAACCTAGTTATCTGGAAATGCCTGAAAGTGAAAATATTCTACTTTTCTAGGGTAGCCTTCTAACTTCTCTTCCACGGACAAGTTTTATCATCCATGTAAATGAGTTCTGTAAGTCAGCTTACTAGAAGTGGGAATCTGCTGGGCCTCAGACACAGGCCTCATCAAGGACTGACTTTCAGAATATGACCACTTTAGTCCTTAGTTTACATATCAGTAAATGTGGATAATCACTTCTTTGCCTGGGCAGTGGATTACATAAGATGCCAAGTATAAAGAATGTATTTAATAAAATGCCTGTATTATTTAAATTCTAAAGATGACTAATAAAAAAGTAAAACTTGCCCTAGCAGGTTTGGCTCAGTGGCTAGAGCATTGGCCTGCTGAATGAAGGGTCCCAGGTTCCATTTCAGCCAACCAGTTGCAGGCTCGATGCCTGGCCTGGTTGGGAGGCAACCAATCGATGTGTCTCTCGAACAACCAATCGATATTTCCCTCCCTCTCTCCCTCTTCCCCTCTCTGAAAAGCAATGGAAAAAATATCCTCAGGTGAGGATTAAAAAAAATAAAAGGAACTGCTATCCTCATTAAAAAAAAAAAAAAAGTAAAACTTGATATCCTTAATAATTTCATTGTCTTCCACATCATTAATGGGTTTTCTTTTAAGGTTCTTTCTCTCTTTTCAAAATACTGATAAAATGGGAAAAATTAGCAGCTACAGCCCAGTCTTTCACAATGGCTAACATTTTGGGGACAAAGCCTTCCAGACTTTTCCCTATTCACCCTTTTCCTCCATTCTCAATATGAATTCAGTGTTTTACATGCGTTTTCCATTTATCAAAAACTTCATTTTAGCCGGACCAGTGTAGCTCAATGGTTGAGCATTGACCCATGAACCAAGAGGTCACAGGTTGATTCCTGGTCAGGGCACACGCCTGGGTTTCCAGCTTGATCCCCAGTAGGGGGCGTGCAGGAGGCAACCAATCAATGTTTCTTTCTCTCTATCCCTCTTCCTTCCTCCCTAAAATCAATAGAAACATATTTTAAAAAACCAAACCAAAAAACTCCACTTCATTTCAGATAAACATGTACATACTCACTTATTAGCTAAAATATAATGCAGCCATTCTTTTAAAGAAAATTCATGAGTGGGGGCCATAAATTTTTATTATTATTTACTTATTTTGGAGAGAGAGACATATCAATTTGTTGTTCCACTTATTTACGCATTCACTGGTTACTTCTTTTATGTGCCCTGAGCAAGTATCAAACCCCAAACCTTGGTGTATCAGGATGACACTCTAACCAACTGAGCTAACCAGCCAGGGCTGTTTTATAGTTTTTAATTATACGGGAAAGAGTTATAATGTAACATGCATTCATTAGTACCTGGTATGTGTCGGGTGATGTTCTAAACTACATAGGGAGATGCAATATTAAAATGAAAACCTCTGCTGCCTTAATGAACCTGTATTCTGGCCACCAGCTACCTGTGGCTATTTAAAATTAAATAAAATGAACAATTCAGCTTCCCAGTTGCATTAGCCACATTTTAAGTACTCAGTAGCCACATGTGGCTAGTGGCTGCTATACTTCACAGTGCTATTTCACCACTACAAAAAGCACTATTGAACAATGCTATTCTAGAGGCAGAAAATAAAATATGTAAGAAGATATTTACCATACCAAAAATCAGAGGATTAGTAAAGGGAGCACACAACAGGAAGGGTGGTGCTGGGAGGGCTGTGGTTTTAAATAAGGTGGTCCTGGAGGGTTATCAGTGATGAGGTGAAAATTGAGCCAAGGCCTGAAAGGAGGAGGCAACCATACCTAGAGCTGGCTAACAAGCCAAATCCGCCCCACAACTGGTTTTGTCAATAATGTTTTACTGGACCATAGCTACATGCATCGGGTGCACATAGTGTCCATGGCTGCTTCTGTGCTACAACAGTAGAGCTGAGTAGTTGAAACAGGCTGTAAGGCCCTCAAAGCCTAAATTTTTTAGTGTCTGGTCCATTACAGAAAAAGCTTACCAACTCCCAACATAAAGAAATGAGAATTCCAGGGAGGAACAAGATGGCGGGGTAGGTAACAGCTGCACCCACTGCCTCCCGCAACCACATCAAAATTACAACTAAAATACAGAACCACCATCACTCTGAGCCTCCTAAAATCGGGCTGAGCAGAAGCCCCACAACCAGGGACCTGAAGAAGCACCAAGACCGGATTGTTCAATGTTGTTGTAAAGAAAAAGAAATGACGCTGTGTTGATTTTGTCTCCTGCAACTTCACTGAAATCATTAGTTCTAACAGTTTTTTTCTGTATGTGGAATATTTAGGGTTTTCTACATGTAAAATTATGTCACCTGTTTAAAAAAAAAAAAAAAAAGAAATGAGAATTCCAGGCTGAAAATACCAGTCCACAGGGCCTGCATTGCAAAATGAGCAAGTTCAGCTTAAGCTCCGCCATATCTGAAAAGATCACTCTTGCTGCTGGCTGTGGGGGGAAGAGTGCACGTGGAAAAGCAGACAGACCAGATAAGAAACTATCTCAGTAATCCATGTAACAAAATGACAGTTCAAAACCAGTGGGGTAGATATGGAAGTGCTGAGAACTAGTCATATAAAGAGTCTGAATTTATTCTGAAAGTAAGCCAAAAAGAACTTATGGACAGATGAGATTTAGATTTGGAGCAAGAGAAAGAAAGGTGTTAAAGGTGACTCCAAAGTTTGTGCTAAGTGACTGAGAGAACAGCACTAAGGTAAGAAAGGCTGCAGGGTGCAGCAGATACATGGGTTCAGTTTGGAGATGTTGACTGAGGTTGAGATCCTGGATAGGCAGTTAAGATAAACACATCTGGAGTTCAGGAGAGCTCTGCTAAAGATGAAAATTTACAGGTCGCTGGCATATAGAGACTGCCAAGGGATAATGAGAACCAACCAATGAGGTGGCAGAAGAATTCAGTGTCCTGGAAACCAACAGAAGAGCATGTTTCAAAAGGGTGATCAACTGTGACAAACGCTGCTGATGGGGCAAATCAGATGAGGACTGAGACTTGGGCAATGGGTTTAGCAATGTGGGATCACTGGCAGATGCAGTTCAAAAAATAAGAAGTTAAATGGAAAAACATATATTGCAAAAGGCCAGAAAGGATGCAAAAATACTGACATAGTAGTTATCTGTAATCTCTGGAAGGCTTGGGGGATTTGCTTTTCTTTATATTATTCTGTATAAAATAATGCGTATACATTAAAGCAGCGATTTCCAACCAGTGTGCTGCAAAGATTTTAAAACATGCAATACCTATTTAGTCAGGGGCACTGACCTCTTTTCCCTTCAACTGTCAAATAAAAGAAAATGACAACAGCCAAAGCAACAATAGCCACCTGGTGTGAATGAATCAAAATTATACCTTTTTTGTGGGACAGGCAAAAAATAGAATATATTTTTTGGTGTGCCCCAGAATTTTAGTAATTAGTTTATGTGTGCCATGAGATGAAAAAGGTATTGCCCTCCTAAGGAGCCTTTTTAAATATCTAACCACCACTGTCTCCCTCCCCCTCAGAAATGTCAATAACACAGATATACACTATATATCTGCTTATATACTTTGGCCCTCTGATGGGCCATAAAACCACTCTAAGATCTAAGATTTCACCCTGGCCAGGTAGCTCAGTTGGTTAGAGCACGGTCCCAATATTCCAAGATTGCGGGTTCAATCCCCAATTAGAGCACAAATAAGAATCAACGAATAAACGCATATACAAGTGGAACAAATCGATGTCTCTATAAAATTCAATCAATAAAAAATAATAAAAAGGAAAAAGAACAAAATTATATTTAAAAAATTATACCAAAAAAATCTAAGATTTAATAACCCCAACCCCAAGAACAATATTTTATCCCCTTGGGAGTGATAAAATCTCCCCATCTGAGAATTCATGCTTCAAGATAGTAAAATGTGGAATGTAAAAAAAAAAGGGACAAATACAGGTGAAACACAGGTAGCCAATATTCCTTAGTCAGCTGTCTAAAATTGAAATAAATGCTTAAATATTTAAATTTGGTAATTTAGTTTACATATAAATTTAACTAGCCTACAGAAAAGCTTGTATCTTAATTTCCAAATTCCTTTGGATGTGCAAGTCTTTAAAAATTGTATATAAACCTCCTTCTGCCCTAGCTGGTTTGGCTCAGTGGTTATAGTGTCGACCTGTGGACCAAAGGGTCCCAGGTTCGATCACCGGCCCCGGTTGGGGCGTGTGTGGAAGGCAACCAATCAATGTGTCTCTCTCCTCACCTTCCTCTCTCTCTGAAAAAGCAATGGAAAAATATCTTCCTGTAAGGATTAAAAAACAACAACAAAAAACCTCCTTCCCAGGAATGGAAAGGAGCCCTACTCACCCCACTACAAATATGTATTTAGTTGAAAGCTGACTGCACATAAAATTATACATAAGTAGACATCTTCATGAAAATGAAATATCAAAAATTACCAATTACTGGAGCTGAAGGTGCTTGTACTGGAGCTGTTTTATTCCAGGGGCCTGAAGACTTTTCTACACCACCGCCACCTCCGCCGCCACCACCACCTTCTTCCCAGTTATCACCCGGATCTTCTCTTTTTTCACTATCATCTTCTTCCTTTTCACTATTGGAAAAGCAAGCCCGTGAGTTCAGTTACAGAACCACCAGGAAAACTGTCAACCCAAATCTTTAGTTCTATTGATGCTGGTTTGTGGACCCTGAGAAGTCACTTAAGCTCTACAAAGCCCAAATGCTCATTTCTTTAAAAGCGAAAAACGGGGGATTCTACCTATTTACACAGGACTTCCACTTGACTTCAAGTGAAAAAAGGTTTAGAAAACCACCTGACCCGATAGTCTGCAATTCCCTTTTGCAAACCTCCTATACTCCAGAACATTTAGAAATGTTTCACACACTTATATGCTAGGCTATGACAACCTCATGATTATACATAGCAGCCCCGAGAGGGAGCACACCCCTAGCTATTGGCTCAAGCAACTGAGGAAGAGTGACTGGTTTGTCTAACCTGAAACACAGAGAAAAGGGCAACTTGAAGGTATAATTACCAGATTTTTCTAGAACCAAAGTATACAACCAGGAATTTATGGTAAGCTTATTTCTAGGAATGGAATGGTTTGTGAAAGCTGTATAATTTTATGTGTTAATCTGTTAGTATATGTTACAAAATACTCTCAACATTCCAATTAATTCACATTCCAACAGAGGAGAGCAAGCAGGTGCCCAAGGTTTGCACCAGTGCCACAGATTTAATTAACGCCAGTCTCTACTGTCTGACACGAAACATACAGATACAGAACTGGTCCCTAACATCGTATGTGCATCATCCACTGAAAAAGAAAGAGAATATAAGAACTCAGTCTTTGGCTTACTAGTGATTATAAATACAAAAGACATCCTCAGTGGTACACCACATCCTAAGACTGCCTGAAGTATTTTTTAATGCCATTTAAAAATTTCTTTATTCTTGAATTGACTTGAGTCAGAAACCTGTAATTTCTCCAGGGTTCCTTTGATTATTTCTCCTTTTGCTAGCTTATTATAATTTTATGTAAACCTGAATATTCTAAATTATCAAGCACTTATCTTATCTCTATACTGCTAGCTTCACAGCAGGGAGATAACTGCCAAACCCGACTTCCTTTCTGCAACTCTTTGCCCTTGCTGATGATGTACCTGGCACAGTCTACCAACCTCTCTGCCTGTGGGAATTATTTCCCATGACAATAGTGGTTTCCCCTAGGTCTTCAATTTATCAATCTCCACTATTCTGACTACCCTTTTCCCTATTAAAAAAAACCATGGTTGATGTCTAAAGCTCTGACCCTTGGCCTTCCATTTTTCTTAGACACTTTCACCTTTTGATATCTGATCCACCATCATGGCCCCTATCAATGTACAGATGACTCCCATGCTGACTACCTAACCTTCAAACATTATGGCCTCTCTTGACTTCTGCACAAGAACATCTAAGGGAGCTTTCCTTCCATTTCTTTTAAAACAAGACAAGTCCTGGCTATAAAACAAATTTCTTGGATAGCCACAGTTCTCCTTTAAAGACACTTACAAAAATTTCAATAATGGTTGACATCATATGGACTGTCCACCACCCGGAGGTGATTCCAGAACTCACACAGTCTTAGGGTGGCAATCAGGAAGGGGAGAAGGGAACAAACGTACTGTCTCTTCAATCTCCATTTATAGCGGGATTTTACTTAAGGCTATTGCTTGAGAGGAAGGAAAGATGGAGAATGTGGACAAGTCACCTTTCAGTTTTCCTTTTTATTAACAAAGAATCCTATGCAGCCATTTAAAATGTTAGGCCAGCCCAAACGGCATGGCTAAGTGGTTGAGCATCGACCTAGGATCCAGGAGATCAGGGTTCAATTCCAGGTCAGGGCACATGCATGGGTTGTGGGCTCGATCCTCAGTCGGGGGCTTGCAGGAGGGAGTCGATCAATGACTCTCTCATCATTGATGTTTCTATCTCTCCCTCTCCCCTTCCTCTCTCTGAAACCAATAAAGACATATTAAAAAAATAAAAATAAAAATGTTAGGCCCATACTAATAGGGAAGTAATATTCATGTCATATAAGCCAACACAAAGCAGTCATGAGCAAATTCTAAAGCCCAACTGCCTTGGTCAAATCCAGGCTCTGCCATTTACTGGCCAGGAGACTGAATACGGCATTTACCTTCTATATGCCTCAGTTTCCTCATGTGTAAAACGGAGATAACAGCCCCATTATGAAGACTGAGTTAACAGACATAAAGCACTGAGAACAGCGCCTGGCACATGGTAAGTGCTGTTAAGTGCTCACTATTACATGCTTTTTTATATTTACTTGAGCTTTCACACAAGCAGCACACATACCACCTTTATAATAGGGAAAAAAAGTAGTTTCCATTTGAAAAATACAGGAAAACATGTTCTTTTAAAATGGACACCAAACAGTATGCCCCTGTCTTCTAAAGCTTAGTAAGTGGAATGAATGACCAGGTAGGGCTATCTGGAGATCATAATTTACCCAGGAATCTAACGGTGGTATCCAAACATCAGAATTATCCCAAAGAAATGTTTTTTAAAAAGTTACCCATTTCTGGCCCTGGCCAGGTGACTTAGTGAGTTGGAGCATCGTCTCATGCACCAAAAGGTTGCAGGTTTGATTCCTGGTCAGGACACATACCTTAGGTTTTGGGTTTGATCCCCAGTCGGGGCACACACGGGGGGCAATTGATCGGTTTCTCTCTCACATTGATGTATGCCTGTCTCTCTCTCCCCCCTCTCCTTCCTTCTTTCCCCTCTCTCTAAAATCAATAAACATATCCTCTGGAGAGGATTAAAAAAAAAAAAGTTACCCACTTCTGAAGCCATGCCAATGTAATTACACCATAATGTAATCTGCTTGGTTCATGAGTGAAAACCATAGATGCTATTTGCCTAGCTACAATGAACTAATTAGTAACATCCCAGGAAACCCAATACATGCCAGACAGGAAGGGTAAGACCCCCAACAAAGACTTAAGTGCCTTCACAGCACTTACACTCTTCTATACCCAAGCTGTGAGAGCTTTCAGGAGGGCATTTGCATTTTGAAGCAGCAATATGCTGAATCACAATTATTCAATTATACCCATTAGACTCTAAAATTGCTTTTCCCTCAAATTAATATTTGGTGATTAATATATCTAAACTCCAGTATTATCAGCCAGCAATAAACAACTGACAACCAAAAAATTCTAACACTAATTTTCCCTAAGCAGAATGAATTATGGATAATTCTTATACATATGCTGTTATTTTTTTCAAATATCCTTTTTTAAAAAAGCATATTTTTTTTCTAATTCACAAAAAATTTTGAAGAAAAACTCCAGTTTGGTCTGATAGAATACTGAGAGTCCCATGTAAAAGAAGATTTTTATGTCTAGTATTTACCACCTCTTCACCTTCAGAGAAAAGTGAAGAAATAATCACAAATCTAAAATTACTTCTAGATGATGAACTGTTACTAAAAAATAAGAGTGATCTGTTTAATTAGATGGACTGCAAACGTATAAAAGGCACAAAAAGACAACTTAGTATTTTGTATTTTTAAGATTCTGAAATATTAGCTAAACTAAACACTGGAAATTGTTTAGTTAAGACCCTTCAGCCAACAGAGGGAACTAAGGCCTACAGATGCTAAGCGCCTTGCCAAAATGTCACAGTACTAATGGCAGGGTAGAAATAACTTAAATACCCTATTCTTTTATTTATTTACGTATTTCACAAAGTGTTAAATCTCCAAATACCAAAGCCAGAACAAGAACCATGTTCCAGACACAATTAGGCTAAAATTCCACATCTGACGCACATATAATAGATAGCTTCTCACTGGCTAAATTTGATGATTTTAAACACTATGATGCTACTGTAAATTCAGTATCACAATTCACAGCATACATCTGTACAGCACTACTGGTGGAGCAGGGGGAATGATGGTGCTAGAAAAGAAATATTTACTGAATATCTACTATGCCAGGCAGCGTTCTAGTTCTACCGACTTGACAAAGTTAAGCCTTGAACAGCACTAAGGCAGGGAGAAAACCCATTGTACACAGGAGGTAACCGATACTCAGACATGTAAAGACCTTTTCCAGGGCTACAATGTAGCAGAACAAATCGGTGGGGCGCGAGCCCACATTCTCACCTCATTATAGCCTCTTTGCAGCTCTAAGACAGTGCACAGAAATTCTATTTTGAGATTTGAGGAATTAACTTCCTTTATTAAGGTTGTTCAGGATTATACATCCTATAGCACTGTATTTATAAAGAACAGAATGTTCTTACCTCCTTATCTCAAAAGACATTACATTAGAATTTGTGTATCTTAAACCCCCTTCCCCAACACTAGGGCGGAAGCAGCTAGAACAAACTTCAGATTTGACCATGCTTCTGCTGGAATGCTGGGCATCTCCGCTGGTTTGACACTATTATCCAGGAACTGTTACAACAGTAAAACAGAGAGAGAAGTGCCCTCACAACCTATGCCTGGCAGCTTAAATGTCATTGCATCTCATCTAAGAACTCTTTCTCTACCCTTTCAAGGTAGACTACGTGTCTCTCTCCTGTGCCCCACAGCACCCTGAACATCACTGAAATGATCTACTGGTATTTAGTACAGTAAGAGTTACTTTTCCAACCCCAAGACCCAGCACAATATGTGGCACACAGTAGTCACACAAATATTTGCTACAATAGATCCAGTCTGGATGCAGAAGTAATTTCTTCTCTTCAAAGGACAACTTAACCATGGGTTTAAAGGCCTAGATTTCTTAAGGTTCCTAGAAAACTTCTGGGGTCCAAAAACTCATCTTTATTGAAACATGATAAATGCTCAACATTTAGTAACCCTTAAGTATTAAGTTGTTAGGCTGCTTCTATCACCATCTCAGTGGCTTCCCTTTCAAGAACTTTATCTATAAATAATGACGTGACTTTGAATAAAATCTATTAATTTAGACACAAAATTTGATACATGCCTTTATAATAATACTCTTAGTATTTAAATCTTGGGTTAGTTGGTAAATGTGAGGTAGGGCAAGAAGTCAATATAGTATGTCTGCTGCTGCTGAAACTTTCCTCCTTTCAAATGAACTTATCTTCAATAAAGGTCCAACTTGCTAACCTACTATAAAGACTAATGTCAAGAATACTGCCTGGCCGGGCATGGCTCAGAGGTTGAGCATTGACCTAGGATCCAGGAGATCATGGTTTGATTCCCAGTCAGGGCACACGTCCGGGTTGCGGGCTCTGGGGCATGCAGAAGGCAGCTGATCAATGATGACTCTCTCATCACTGATGTTTCTTTCTATCTCTCTCTCCCTCTCCCTTCTTTTCTCTGAAATCAATAAAGATATATTTTAAAAAAAAGTATCAATATCTGCAGCTAACTAAAGATAAAGCAAATGTGGCAAAAACGACTGGTAGATGTAAGCAGAGTGTATGGGTATCTATTTTACTATTCTTGCAACCTTTTCCAAAGCAGAGTTAGAAGAGAAAAAAAAAAAAGCCCAGCAAGGCGTGGCTCAGTGGTCAGGGCACATACCCAGGTTTCGGGCTCGATCCCCAGTAGGGGGCATGCAGGAGGCAGCCAATCAATGACTCATCACTGATGCTTCTATCTCTCTCCCTCTCCTTTCCTCTCTCTGAAATCAATAAAGATATATTAAAAA